ATTTATTATGTATACATTTTATCTCATATTCTTTAATCTTTTAACGTGTTTGTTGTTAAATAAATACCGATGATAGTCATGACACAGATTGATAATCAAGATACTATAATGAAGAGTTTGAATCGATTTTATTGCTCAAATTTGTAAACTGATATTAATAACGAGCGGTTTTAACGTTCGATGAATTTTGTTGTTAAATTTAATAATGTGATTTCTTGTTCGTATAATTTGACGCGATGCAATAGTAATGCAGTCTGGCCAAAATCGATACGCGCATCAGCCATATACCTATACGTAGCGCAGTGCATTCTCGTGAAGCTGTATAGCTGGTTCCTCTCCCATGTTACGCGTAGACATTTATATCTACACAGAATAAACTTTATTACAATTACTAACTTGTTTGTAAGCAGAAAGCTTCTTTAATGTTTGATTAACGCTTTTTTATTTTTACACACAAACGACTCTCTGAAATCCATGGATATTTCTTCTCATTCGTTTTTTTTTTAATAACTCGAAATCGATAACTTTTAGTATTCATTCATTGACATCGAAGAAATAAAATTGTTAAAGATTTTGTATGAATCACGTTAAACAACTTCATTAAACTTCGTTAAACAACTCTGTCACGTTCGCGTTGTAAGATTTGGAAAACAAGATGCGTTTTAATTCCATTACACATTACAGAAGGTAAATTTCTAGCGTTTTCCACCGAATAAAGCTACAAATGAAAAATATGCAGTGATATTTTTGTAGAATCCTCTTACCTTTTCGTCGTTGAAACGCTACGAGAAGCAATTTTGCTTTTGTCAAGCGACGCGAAATATGCGACTGTTTTAAAATTGCTCGTAGTAAATGATATCTGCATTATTTCGGTAGGTCAATAATAATCCGCCATTTCCCATAATTACAATCGTATGTGTATTGACAAACGTAACTTGTAATTATTCATATTTTCATTGGTTTTGCGTACGACCTATTATTTCAAACGTAATTTTATAAACCACGGATTATCCTGGACAGATTAACAACGATTTTATTATACCCGATGAAGAACGATATCATATTATTTACTGGAAAATAATTAAAGGCATATATATGAAATTAAGAAAATAGAAATGGTAATAATATAATGTATAGATTTCAAAATTTTTGAAAATAGCGTCGTTTTTCTCTTTTGAATGTATATTTGATATTAAATATATCTTTTTTAGATTTCAACTGCTATTTAACGCTCATGTTATAAGTATAATTATGGTTCTCTTATGTAATATATGTTTTATATATATACATATACACATATACGCACACGCGAGTATGTACATGTGATTGCTTTGTAATAATTTTAGCAAGCACAATTGAAGGAAACAAAATGATTAACACATTAGATAATGACACTATAAGTAAAAATAAAAAAAATTTTACTAATAGAGAGCTTAAATCTCATAATTAAAAAAACGTAGAGTCGAGATTCCAGTCCCTGAAGGTTAAATAACAAGTACCTTACTCATTAATTTGTTTGTTTAAACTAAACGATTCAGATAATCCTAACTACGAAGAGAGATAGGCAGCAAGTAATCGACTCGAATAACACGAGCTTGCTTAATTCAACAAGAATAAGCTGTATATTTATTGATAATAGTTACTAGCCGTTACCTCCTTTAAAAAAGAAGGTAGCTATATAGGTAACTTATTATTTGACCACGCTTCCTGCTAGCTTCCCGAAAAGAACCGTAAAGGATTGAATACGGCCCTGCCAGACGGGCGGTTCTGTCGGCCAGGTGGTCCAAACCAAATACCACGATATCGTTCTTCTTGCGGACATTTATGCTCCGCTGTGCTGCCGGACGAACGAACGGACGGACGGACAGACAGGTGTGAATCGTGGTGTCCGTGGCGCAATGTGCGCACCGACCGGCGTGTCGCGCGCGCTAACTACGAGAATAACGGACGTGTACCACGTGCACAAGTCAATGACGAGGAAAGTGTGTGTGTGTGTGTGTGTGTGTGTGTG